TATCTATGTTTTGTAGATTAAGTTATAAATAATTTACAAGTGATTAGATGATGATTAACTAATCATTTACAAAACATGACTATACATTCATAAATGATTATTAAGTAATACGCTAACGATTTACAAATATCGTAAGTTATCTTAAAAAATAGCATAATGAAATAATCAAACAGATCCTTAGTAAAAGATTAATACACTGAAAAAATATATATACTAAAATTTTTCAAGGTAAGTGGTTGCAAACAATATATTTTAGCTACATTTAAAAAAAAAAATTTGAAAGTTAGTCAACTAAATTTGTTTATTTAAATGTAGCTAAAATAAATTGATTGCAACCACTTATCTTAATTTTTTTTTAGTAAATTCAATAAATCATTGTTTTCAGTATAGTTACTAGTTAATATATTATTATTCACTTATAAATCATTGAAATGTCAACATTGTACTATTATCGCACAGCGTTATAAATAATCCATGTGTGTCAGAGAAGACATCTGTCTATACCCTCACCAGTCAGCCCTTACATTGCAGTACACACTACAAAGTATTCAAAACGAGTAAAACATTTACAACTGATGAGTAGTTTACACATTAGAATAGGGGATGCAGAAAGCTTTATTATTATATATAGAAAACATTATTATAAGCTGACTGTTGTGAATCGGGCTAAAGTAAGGTGATAGTTTCGAACACTGGCTGGTTATGTACTTGCTCAAATATTGATTTTGGATCATTTTTAACCAAAAAAAGTTACGGACTGCAGCTTTAAAGTAACATTTTTTTTAGTTAACTGTAATATGGCTCCCAATCTGATTAACACACACACTGAATGGCCCCAACAAACTGCAAAATTAACAAGACTGAACAGGAAAATTGACTTTCGTGTTTGGATATTTGTTTTCTAAATGTCTCATGACTTTTGCAACCAGTTTTTGGGTCTCGAAGCACCAGATGAGAAAAGCTGTTCTGTAGTTTCCAAGGAGCTAAATATAATCACTATATTTAAAGTCGACTAAAAATGATCATGATTTTAATGTTAAAGGACTGTAAGATGCTACAGTAAAAATACATAATCATCCCTCACTAAAAAGAACTGTAAGAAATGTAAGTTTTTCTCTACTGTAAATGTCAAAATGTAAATGTCAAAATAATAACCTAACCTGCCACCTTTTACTGTACATGTGTAACTGCAGTGTTTATTAATCAGTAAAGCAACTTCTCTCTAAAGTGTATTGTGTGTGAGTTAATCGCAGTTGTGTGTCAAGTCAAGTCACCTTTATTTATATAGCGCTTTTAACAATACAGATTGTGTCAAAGCAACTGTACAGCATTAAATAGGAAAATAGTGTGTCAATAATGCAAAAAGGCAGTTCATCATTGAATTCAGTGATGTCATCATCCAGCTCAGTTCAGTTTAAATAGTATCTGTGCAATCAAGTCGATGATATCGCTGGAAATGAAGTGTCCCCAACTAAGCAAGCCAGAGGCGACAGCGGCAAGGAACCAAAACTCCATCGGTGACAGAATGGAGAAAAAACCTTGGGAGAAACCAGGCTCAGTCGGGGGCCAGTGCTCCTCTGACCAGATGAAACCAGCAGTTCAATTCCAGGCTGCATCAAAGTCAGATTGTGCAGAGGACTCAACTGGTTCTGTGGTCTTGTCCCGGTGGCCGTCTAGGAGACAAGGTCTTCACCATCTGGTCTGAATACGTACTGGATCCGGGTGACTGCAGTGACCATCTAATCTGGATACAGACTGGATCTGGTCATGCATGTTGTTGGTTTAGATGATTTAACAAGTTTATACAATTCTTCTTCTCCTATAGTAGAGAATGAGTGGAATTGTTCCTCAGGGGATCTATAGTGCACTGTCTGATGCAATACTATAGCTGACGGCTGCATGGTTACAATTTTATCTCTAATAGTATCGATCTTGGAAGAAAATTAGTGTCATTACTGTCCACTCTCTCAATGAACTAAAATGATCATTAAAGCTTATTAAACAAAGCAAATAAAATCACAATCAAAATCAAATGTCATCTTACCTTCAATGCTAGGTTCACTGGCACTCCATCACCGGACAATCACATCCCGTCCATCTCTCTGTGGCTCTGAACCAAAACCTAGTGCGCTGCCTGCATAGGTAGTATTTTAAGGCATCATGGTGATCCTGATGGAAAAGCTGTTCCCGAAACTGGGCGGCAAAGATGAAGTTTCAATGTGAAAAATTATAAATGAAAATGTATCCTTTTATTATTTTCAGACAAAATGCTGCACCTCTCTTTGTGAAACTGAAATATGTCAAATAATGAAACTAACTTGAAAATTTAAAACAAATCCCAAATTAATAAAATAGCGAAATAATACAAATAAAATAAATCTCTTCATATAATCAAACTAAGGCTTTGTCTGTGCTCTTTCCATTTAAAATAAGAGGCAACCACTGGAGTTTAATCATGATCCGAACAAAGATGCTGCATACATGTTATTTAGATTTTTAGATTCTATAATTTCGAAATTTGAAGCAAAAACAGAATGGTCTGACTTTAGTTTTGTGAAACTATACTACATAAAAAAATCAGAATGAAACAAAAACAGCAGACGGATGTCACTCTCTGACAGCAGGTGGCGCTCATGGAACAGCAGGTATTTATAAGCTGCTGCCCTTTTAGGGCTGAATGCACGGATCCAATATAATGATGCACATGTGATTTCTTTATCCACTGTTCACGTTCACTTAAGAAATATGAGAATACTTGCCTAGACAGTTTTGTTGAGATCACTTTGTGTGTGTGTGTGTGTGTGTGTGTGTCCGTTCAAGTGCAAGGATACGTGAAAGAGGACTCAATCCTGTGTTTGCGCGCTGTGTGATATGCGGCTCTCTGTGTGCTCGCACAAATAACAGCACGCGAGTACTGAATTGAATTCAATAGGGTGTCCTTTCTTTTTCACATGACGTGTCTGAATCAATGTACAAATGCAAATGACTCTGTTTTAAATGTAAAGTTGTTGTGTGTATTTATGTGAAGCATTGAGAGTTCACAAACGTTTTTTGCTGCATGCGTTTTTTAATCTGCAGTATGCATTTATGAGAAGTTTTGATGCAGTTATTTTATCCTCCCAAAGGTCTTTATTTATTCTTAATGAAGACAAAGGTAACGGTCATATTGTTAGCTCATATTTAGGCAACATATCTGTCTACAAAATGAATAAATGTAAAATTAATATATATAAATGTATTCTTGACAAATTGCTTTGTTAAATTGCTAATGTAATGCAGTAATTCAGATATCTGTAGATAAATTGAATCGCTAGATAAATTTCACTCCAATGAAGAACATGACTTAGCAAACGGAGGAAGGGTTTGCTTCACTACATTTCGGTACAGTCCTGTTCTTCTGGAAGACTTTCCCGTTGGGTTGCGTCCTCCATGTCAGTGTGACGTCTTCATCGCTCAGCGTCTGCTTTAACTAAACACAGAAACAGCATTTAGTTACTCAATGGATGAAGCAATGGATGTTTTGCCATCAATTTAGTTTTTCATGAGCGCAATACTCTAATCTTAACACATTCATCACTGACAACAAAAGCCAATCCTGTGTGATGTTTAATAAAATCTTTCTCACTACTGCACATAATGATCTTGAATTGACACCGTACTGAATTTAAATACATTCCACAATTCATTTCAGTCAGATGAATATCATAAAATCCACCTTGTTTAAGACGAGCGCCTTCAATCTTTCCTCATTAGCATTCTCAGCAGCTTTCACCTGCACTCGGATCACCTGCCTGTTCCTCTTGACTGTGGGGAAAACCACATATTGTTTATTTGACTTTTTCCTTTGTTTTACTGTATCTTGCTTTATGAGAACAGCCTAACCCCTTTGACCACACATATTTACTTGATACTTGGTCATTTTTAAATAATTATACTATATTATGATTATATAATTATTACATATAATATTAAATATTAAAGCATATATTAAATACAGTTTTGACGTCACAGCTACGCTCATATCCACATGCAAACATGCAGTCGGCGTGGAAGTTCTCTGCATAAATTAACTCACATACAGTTCTAGAAGCATAGTGAGGTAGAAAAAAAAAATATTTATGATGTATGATATTGGTAAGCAACATCACACGACCAAGATGTTTCCCCAAATATCAGCACGATTGCAATGTGGCACTGATTTTATACAATAATAATTAAATAAACACACAATATTTAGACACAATATTGAATGTTTTTCCTCAATTTTGCAAACAAAAATAGTTCTAATCATGTTTTTGAACGAATGAAGTCAGTTGATGGTTCAGTAATCCATTCATAAAGACAGTCACTTGCCTCGTTTCTGAATGAATCGGCTGTTTGAACGAATCGGTTGAGCGAATGACTAAATGACTCACTCAGTAAAACAGTAATTTGCCGCCGCCTACTGGTGGTTTGGTTTCATATTTAAAAGTATCATTGCATTTTTCTCAACATTTCTTATTTGTATGTTCAAAAAATTATTTAATCTTATAACATTATTTATGCATTTGCAACAATAAATGCATTTATGTCACCTCGGCTTCATCAAACAATCTGTGTAAATGCATCTAATGCCACTTCAGAAGCAGCTTCTGTTTCCTCTGCAGTGAAAAGATGGAGTTAAAATGCAACAACTCTACAGTTTCTTATTATTCTATCTGAATTAATTGAAACAATGTAATAATTTGATGTTAAAGATGACACATTCATATAATAAGGTTAGGAAATAATGCCAATTTATAAACGTAGTGGGAAATTACATCTTTCCAGTGGCAGAGCACTTTATTTTGGGAGTTGCTGAAGTGAGAGAACATCTGTTACTTAGTAAAAAAAAGATTTTTGGTTGTATAGGGTGTCAATTATAGCCTAGTTCTTAGAAAGAAAATCAGAATCAGCAAAAATCAGTATCGGCAGGTCACACTTACAAAAGAAATCGGAAATCGGAATCAGCCAAGAAATTTGCAATCGGTGCATCTCTAGTTTAAATCAAATGAAATTGTCCCATTCAGTGTTTTTTTTTTCTTATGTTTGATAATAAACATTACAATCTCTCTACACAATAATTCAGGTCAGACCTACCAGTGTTACAGTAGAAATAATGAGTCGTAGTGCAAAGTCTATCTTCAATTACACGCCAATAATTTATAGTAGCACAGTCTTGGTTCGACCCGACAAGTTTTTGAACAGCGTTTTGGGTTGAAGAAGTAAAGTTGGCCCGATCTGACCACTTCCAAGAGTCTCTGTACAATCCGATCCAGACCGGAGCCATAAAAATATTTAGCAACTGAATTATCTGGTCATTGTCAGCTTGACTCCTAACGATAGCCAGGTCTGTATAATGATCTCTGCAGTACTTCTGAGCATCGAGCCATGTCTTTTGGGTCTTGCTTAGCACCAGTTTAGCTGTTCTGTTTGTGTTCTCTGTGAAAATTCAAAAACACAGTCAAGACCATTTCCTTTGGAAAATTTACAGATTATTCCCAGAACTACTGTATGTTTCTGAACATTTTAATATTCACATAGCCTAGTTTACATGGACAATACACAATGGAAGTCTGAAGGGATAGTTCACACAAAAATGAACAAATCTGTCATTATTTAGGCCTACTTACATATACAGTCATGCTTTGAATTATACATTGGAAAAAAAATATTTTCAAAGTTGTAATAAAACCAAAGATTATTTGAGTGTTTTTTGTACAAAAATACTTAATTTCACTTTTAATTCAGTGTTACTTGCCATTTCTTTGTAATTATATATGAAATTTACCAGCACTTTCTGAGTGAAAATTGTAAATTAGAATAAAACTTTACTTTATTACTGCATGATTACTGACCAAAAGAATATTGTAATATAAATGTTTACTTGTGTGACCCACCCATATATCTTAGTTTCTTAATTTTATACACTGAGTTCATGAGCATCAGTAAAAAATGATTGTGCGTGTTTCTCACCATCGTAACACACGAAATATATTTCACTGGTGCAGTAGAAATCAAACCACTTTCCGTCAAAAGCTATGGTGACACACTCCTCTCCTGCACCGTAGTTATCTGGCTGGACAAGACCCCAGGACTTGAACACCAGACTTTCCTCGTTATAAGACCAGCGCCAGCCGTTGATGTCATTGAACAGTCCGATCCAGGCAAATGAAGAAAACTGTTGTTCATCTGCAGCTTCTTTCAGACTTGTCCAGTCTTCATCAGTCTGAACGGTGGCCAGATCATAATGGTGTGTCCTGCAGTAACTCTGTGCATTTTCCCACGTCTTTATCTGCTTGTACAGAATATACTCTTGTGGTTTACACAGAGTTAATGACAGGAGTCCTGCCAAGAGAATACAGTGGTTTTTATCAGCTTTCCAGTCTTCTCCTTAAATGTTTCCATTTGGCTGGCTTCTATGTGTCTCAGTGTTTGTGTATCTTTTGTTTTGTTTCTTACTGAAGTGTCACCGTCCTTGATGTGAGACACTGCAGGCAAAACCTTTTTTTTTTATTAAGGGTGCTCTGCTCAGGCCTTATGTGTGCGTGCTTTGAGTGCATGAGCGCACCGTCTCTAGGAGAGCGCGCGAGTGTTGAATGCTTTAAACACTGGCAATACTTTAAAAAAATGTAAATTATAAACTTTAGAGACGATGCGACACAATTCCTGTCAACTGTGCAGCGTGCAGCTCGTTTATAGTGCAGACGCGATGTGCTGATTTGAAGCCATTTGCGCATTTTGACAGGTAAAGAGAGAGCGTGCGGGGATTCACTCACGCTGTTTGTGAAATTACGTCTCACAGAAAGTTTTCAAATTACTTTGTAATAATTTAATAAAAAAATATGAATTGTACCTCACCTTTAGCATTATAGGCCTAATTATTTTACCCGCGGGCAGAGATTGAGACGGTGCTGCTGCATGTCATGCCAAACCTCTCACAGCAGGCGCGTCATCAGCTTGAGATCGGTTTATGAGATTGGCCTTTATAGAGACCACCCATCAATGGGAGCGCCCCTATTTTTTTATGCCAATTCTTTGGCGATTTTGAGTTTGGCATTTAATAAATATGTTGTTTTAGGCTAGTGGACAGAAAACACCCTAAATGCACTTTTTTTTTTTTACACTTTATTTACTTGCATCTGTAGATTTCGATTTCAATCCATATTTTTAATTTTAATAAGAGTTTTTTTCCACTTCAGCAGCACTTACATACACCAAAATTTACAGTTTTATTCCTCTCTATATTCTAAAGGATTTTATATAAGGGTTTGTTAATATATAATTTGCTTAGATTTATTGTTTCACTTAATCTATTTGCGTCTGTAGAGTTCAAATACAGTACATATCTTTAAAGGTTGTTTTTTCTCAAAATGAGTTTGTTCCCCTTCAGGAACTCGAGCTGCGTCGAAACGCTATGGGAACGCCTTCAGCGTGACCACGCTCTGAATCACGTGTGTAATCAGTCCAATGGATGGGCAAGACGTCACGGGTGGGGTGACGTAGTGACCAGGACGCTTAAAAGCACGTGTGGTGGAACCAGCGTCAGCTTTTTTGTCATACAGCAAGCGCTCTGTGTGTGGGTCAGTCGCTATTTGTTGTGAGTCTTATTTAGTGTTGTTTGTCCAATCAGTCCAATGGATGGGCAAGACGTCACGGGTGGGGTGACGTAGTGACCAGGACGCTTAAAAGCACGTGTGGTGGAACCAGCGTCAGCTTTTTTGTCATACAGCAAGCGCTCTGTGTGTGGGTCAGTCGCTATTTGTTGTGAGTCTTATTTAGTGTTGTTTGTCCACTTATAAGCTCCATTATGTCAAAGCTTCAGCCAAGAAGAAGCATTTGGGAGAGAGCAGGCAGCGTTCAGGCCGTGTGTTCCTCCCTGCCCGCGTTATATTTCGGGTGGGGACACACACAGTTTGTGTGTTGTCTGCTTGGGAGCGAAGCACGCAGAGTCAGCTCTCGAGGGAGCTGACTGCCCGCATTGCGAGCGTTTGTTACTGCGTGTGCTTCGCTCTCAGAAGGCTATCTTTGAGGAGGGAGCCTTCACCAGCGTTCCTCGCAGTGCCAGCCCCGCTTTCGCCGAGGTGGAGCGGTGGCTGCGCTCGTGGGGTTCGCATATGGATCCGGTGGAGGGAATGTAGACAGGCAAGTCCCTATCTTCTTCCTCACCCACCAGATCCATCGCCCACTCTCGGGGATCGGAAGCCCACGCAGCGGTTCTTCCCCCCGGGTAGAGGGCTCGACGCTCCGCCTGTCTTTCTCCGAGGAGGTTGATATGGAGGGCATCGATAAGATCGCCAGTTGCACAAGCATCAGTTACACAAGCATATGTTACACAAACATATTATGCCTAATATTATAATGAGCAGCATTACTGGGGAGCAGAGCTCGCGCAGTCAGCTCTCGAAAAAAAGAGGGGGCTGATTGTGCTTTTCCCACTGTTAAATGCTCAGAGCGGAGCATTTAACAGTGGAAAAAGCACAATCAGCTTTTGATTTTGAGTGCCTGTGATTTTGCGGTTTCGGTCCCGCTGCTGCTGAGACACGGCGGCGATTGAGATCCTGGGGATCGCACATGATCTGGTTGACGGGTTGGAGACGGGCTCTCCCTATCTCCACCCGCGTTCCCTAGATCTAGCGCTCTCTCTAGGGTTTTGGAAGCCCGCGCTGTGGTTTCTTCCCCCTCTGAGTGAGAGCTCGCTGCTGCAGCTATCTTTCTCCGAGGAGATTGATATTGTTTGTGTGACCATTGCCTCGGCAGCGTGTGCATTACATAATTTTCGGTTTTTGATATGAATCTTATCACACCAGACCGTGTTTACTCGTCTGGTTGTTTGGCTGCATTTAATTTTGAGGAATAAAATAAAGTATTTTTCTGATTATGAGAAGTTAGATATACAGGGGCTCTTGGGATAAAAATTTCTCGAGGGAGAGCACATGTTTACCTCTCTTCCTCCGAGGAGGTTGAGGCGGTCAGCAGGGGCTGCTGGGCGGGAGCAGTCCCAACCTACCGGTGTTCCAGCCCCTTATTCAGGAAACATTACTTCTCGTACTCCGCAGAGTCTAGAGTCAGAGTGGCGGTCACAGGCCGAAGACTTTTAGTGGAAGGCGGTTCTGCAGACCGTCATTCTCGCTGGATAGTCTTCGTCTAAAATGTCCTGACACCTAAGGCCTAGGACTTCTGAGGGCCGGCCCCCTCTTGGGAAGAGCGGTCTACACCGCATTACATGGTGCCCGTCTCTCCTCAGTGCCCTCAGGAGATCGGGCTGCCAACCCTGCCGGTGTTCCAAGGCGCAGCGGTCTCCGGCGAGCGCTTCTCTCAGTCACCGCCCAGAAACGTAGTAGTACTAAGAGGCTCACTACCTCTTCGGAGGTCTCTAGAGTAGCTAGTTCAGCCATCCCTGCCGGTTCGCCACTTCATGGCACCGACCTAGCCGCTCTAAGTGCACCAAAGGCCAGTCTCAAGAGACTGGTTCCCTTAGTAGGTCACCTGGCGGTGTAGGAGCCCCTGCCAAGCGTGCCTCATTGGGTCCTGCCCCGAGCAGGCTCTGCTTGTATCAGTCTAGTCTTCCTAAGAGATGACACGGGTCTGAGGACCGTCAGTTTCAATAGGAGACTTCATCTATGAGAGTCCTGATGCCATGGCTCAGGACCTCGGAGGGCAGGCCCCTCTGGGGAAGAGCGGTGTACACTTCATTACACGGTGCCCGTCTCTCCTCAGTGCCCTCAGGAGATCGGTCTGCCAACCCTGCCACTCATGGTGCTTCAGGGCGCAGCGGTCTCCGGCTTCTCTCAGTCACCGCCCGGGAACGTAGCGGTACTAAGAGGCTCGCTACCTTTTCGGAGGTCTCTAGAGTAGCTAGTTCGGCCGTCCCCTGCCGGTTCGCCTCTTCAGGGCACCGACCTAGCCGCTTTGATTACACCAGAGGTCAGTCTCGAGAGACTGATTCCCTTAGTAGACTATTTGGCAGCGTGGAAACTACTGCCAGATGTGTCTCGGTGGGTCCTGCACACTGTAGAGAGAGGCTACAGAATCCAACGTGGTTCTTTTCCGCCTCAGTTCAACGGGTGATTCCCACTCTGGTGGGGCCCCGAGCAGGCTCTGGTAACAGAACAAGAAGTAAACACTCTCGACAAGGAGTGTTTCTCTCTCGGTGGCCAGAGTGTGAGCAAGGAGGCCGTCAAGGTGGTCCCTCCTCTCGACAGGGAGTCCGGGTTCTACAGCCGGTACTTTATCGTTCCAAAGAAGGATGGAGGGTTGTGCTGCGAGAGGTCTCCTCTTGCTTTAGAGAGTTGTCATGTTGAGGCCTCTGCTCCAAGAATGGCCGTTTTTCTGCGAGTGTCGTCAGGCCTCCTCTCGCTACAGAGAGTTTTTGAGGCCTCTGCTCGCCAGAGCTCCACTAGGACAGTCTGAGTTTAAGCTAGCGTGTGGTGTAGAGGCCTCCTCTCGCTTTAGAGAGTCGTTATGCTGAGGCTTCCACTCCTAGAGCTCGGCCCATCTCCATTCTTCCCCATCACAGGAAGTTCCTGAGGTGGCTTTTGGGGGCAAAAGCCTACTAATATCGGGTTCTTCCCTTCGGCCTTGAACTCTCACCCCACACTTTCACGAAGTGTGTGGATGCTGCTCTGGCTCCTCTGTGCCTCCAGGGCATCCGCACACTGGAGACTGGTGGTGAAGCTGATATGGAGAGTTTTTTGGCCAGGCTCAGGTGGACCTGTTTGCGACTTAGGAGATATCGCACTGTCCCCTCTGGTTCTCTCTGACTCATCCAGCTCCGCTTGGCCGAGGCTTTGTCTGTACGCTTTTTCCCCCGATCGCTCTGCTCCCGGGAGTTCTGGAGAGAGTGCGCCGGGACGGGGTCTGTCTGCTACTAGTAGCCCCGCACTCAACCACATCGACAATTGGTTGATATTAGCTCAATTTGAGCCGATGGTGGTTCGGCATTGTGATGTCATTCTCGCTCACATGAAAGAGCTGGGGTTAAGACTTAACGCCAAGGAAAGTATGCGTGGTGTGTGTCTCCTGCTTTGATCGAGTCGATCCTCACTGCAGTCACGAGAGTGAGAGAAGGCCTGTCACTCACTGTCAAGCAGTTTAAAAACTGCTGGGTTTGATGGTAGCTGCGTCCAACGTGATACCTTTGGCCTGCTGTACATGAGACCCCTACAGTGGTGGCTCAAGACCAAGGGAGGCTTTTTCAGCATTGCAATTCTTTTTTTTACACAGTACAGTAGTACAATCTTTCACAGACATGTTTAAGCACAATAAATATAAGCAACACATTATTCATTGCTTTTTACTTTTGCATTTACTTCTAGATTTATATATTAAGTTGCTCAAGCAATTGG